ACTGGCTTAATCATAGGAGACAGAGGGTAATGGTGAAAGGATGCTTTTCAGAATGGAGGGCTGTGACTAGTGGTGTTCCAAAGGGATCAGTGCTGGGACCCCTGCTGTTCATGGTCTACATTAATGATTTGGAGGAAAACGTCACTGGTCTAATTAATTAGATTGTGGGCAATACAAAGATTGGTGGAGTTGCAGATAGCGAGGGCGATTGTCAGAGGATGCAGCAGGATATAGATCGGTTAGAGGCATGGGCAGAAAAATAGCAGATGGTGTTTAATCTGGACAAATGTGAGGTGATACATTTTGGAAGGTCAAGTACAGGGGGAAATTATACAGTGAATGGCAGAACCCTTAGGAGTATTGATATGCAGAGGGATCTGGGTGTGCAGGTCCACAGCTCACTGAAGGTGGCAGCTCAGGTAGATAAGGTAGTAAAAAAAACTATGGCATGCTTGCCTTCATTGCAAGGAGCATTGAATGTAAGGATAGGCAAGTTATTCTGCAGCTTTATAAAACTTTAGTTAAGCTACACTTGGAATGTTGCGTACAGTTCTGGTCACCAGAAGGATGTGGATGCTTAGGAGAGGGTACAGAAAAGATTTACCAGGATGTTGCCTGGTATGAGGGATTTTAGCTATGAAGAAAGGTTGGATAGACTGGGTTTGTTTTCACTGGAACGCAGAAGGGTGAGGGTCAACCTGATAGAAGTTTATAAGATTTTAAATTCATGGATAGAGTGGAAAGTATGAGACTTTTTCCCAGGGTGGAGGGGTCAATTACTAGGGGACAGAGGTTCAAGGTGCAAGGGGGAAAGTTTAAAAGAGGTGTGCGAGGCAAAGTTTTCACACAAAGGGTGTTGACTGCCTGGAACATGCTGCCAGAGGAGGTGGTGGAAGCAGACACAATGGCAGCATTTAAGAAACACCTGGACGAATACATGAATAGGAGGGGAATAGAGGGATATGGATCCTGTGGGCAAATACAGTTTTAGTATGGAAGGGTAAAATGCGGTGGCACAGGCTTGGATAGCTGCTGTATTGTTCTTTGTTCTTAGGTACCAAGTTACCTAACTACCAATGCATAAGTACAAATTTTTAGGGAAAAAAATTAGAAACACAAAGAAATAAAAAGTCCATCAATAAATTAGAAAAATAGAGAAATAAGAGTTCAGAATAACAGTCCTTCCAACCCAGACTGCACTGGGTTTCACCCCAAGGCCGGGAATCCGAGGCCAGGCCGAGAGTGCGAGACCAGGAATCCGAGACCAGGCTGAGGCCAGGAATCTGAGACCAGGCCAGGAGTCCAAGACCAGGCTGAGGCCGGGAATCCGAGCCCAGGTCGGGAATCCGAGACCGGGCCAAGGGCGGGAATCCAACACCAGGCCAGGAGCGTGGGACCAGGCCGAGGCTGGGAATCCGAGACCAGGCCGAGGCCGGGAGTGTGAGACCAGGCCGAGGCTGGGAGCTTGAGGCCAGGCCGAGGCCGGGAGTTCAAGTCCGAGTCCGGGAGTGTGAGTGCAGGCCAAGGCAGGAAGTCCGAGAGCAAGCTGAGGCCGGGAATCCGAGACCAGGCCAAGGCTGGGAGTCCGAACCCACAACATCCAATAAGCTTTAGTATCTTGTATAACCCAATTAGATCTTGAGGTTGGTTGGCTCGCTGAGCTGGTTTGTTGTTCCGCAGACGTTTCATTACCGTGCTTGGTAACATCCTCAGTGGAGCCCCGATGAAGCGTTGGTGTGTTTTCCCTCCTGGTTTTTAAACTCTGGGGTCTGTTGCGATGGATTGCCTCACTTCCGGTTTTCCTCCGTAGTGGAATGTATATGGGGTCGAGTTCAATGTGTTTATTAATAGCCTGCTTCGTGGAGTGCCATGCTTCCAGGAATTCTCGTGCTTGTCTCTGCCTAGCCTGTCCCAGGGTCTTGGTGTTGTCCCATCGAAGTTGTGGTTCACCTTGTCCATATGGATTGAGATGAGTGAGTACTGGTCGTGTCTTTTTGTAGCCAGTTGGTGTATGTGTACTCTCGTTGTTAGTTTCCTTCCTGTTTGTCTGATGTAGTGTTTCTCACAGTCTCTGCAGGGGATTTTGTAGATGACATTGGTCCTGTCCATGGCGGGGAGTGGGTCTTTAGTTCGGGTGAGCACTTGTCGTAGGGTTGATGTGGGTTTGTGCGCCACTCTGATGCCCAGCGGTCATAGAAGTCTTGTGGTGAGTTCTGACGTGTTCCTGATGTAGGGTAGTGTGATGAGTGTGTCGGGGCATGTAGAATTTTTCTGATGCTGTTCGTGTAGGCATCTCCTGACCCAGTTCTTTGGATATCCATTATCCTTGAAAAGGAAGAGGTATTCCTCTTCCTCTTGGCATAGTTCCATGTTGCTGCAGTGCATTGTTGCCCTTTTAAATAGTGTTCGCACGCAGCTCCGTTTGTGTGCGCTGGGATGGTTACT